TAACAAAAGAAAAAGAATTAATTTCTAAAAACAACTCGTTATATTTAAAAATGGAAAAATGCTCCATTTTCATGGTCATATGAAACATGCTTGTCTTATAAAGAAAATAAAATCTTTTAAAATTAGACAAATATGGGTTCCAAAGGAAACAAGGGGCATTGAAACTAACTTTCATGGATCCAAAGCAATTTGGATACCAAAATCTACTTAAATATCTCTTGTAGGTATGTGGGAGCAATGGTGATGAAAATGAAGAAATCAAGATGCTCTAGCCACACTCTAAAAGGAATGGGTAACCTCTAAGCTTAAAAGCTTTTTATTTTTGCATAATTGGTTGCTCATTTGATTTATGCATGCATGAGTTTTTGAACTTAAATGATTTTGTATTGATTTAATATCTCATGTATATAAAAAAGGTGTTATGATGAATATTTTAAAGTTATTTTAATGATTTTTCATAATTTTTAGTTCATCATAATGAATTTTGGTCAAAATTGGGTTTAAATGCTAATGATATCTCTCTAACAATTAATATCAATTTTCCAAATTCTTTGACTTTAAATTTTTTTAAGTTTTTTTTACCTAAATTTAAATATTTATGCATGTAATTTAAAAATGCAAATAATATCTCTCTAACAATTGATATCAAATTTTTCAAATGCATAATATTTTTGGAAAATTTTATGCATATGCGCTTAATTTAACATTTGGTATTGCATAAAGTATTTAAGTGTCAAGCCTTTAAAAGTCAAACTTTTGTTTGGAATGCACTTTTTGGGGGAGCTTTGATTTTTCAAATGTTTTTAATGACAAGTTTATCACTTACTCTCCAATGTTTATTTTAGCAATTTAAAGTTGAATTATTTTTATATAACGAAAAGGAGGAGAAGTATGGTTTGAAAATTTCAATTTCTTAATGAAAAATGGGGAGCTGAATATTTTCATATTTTTTCCAACAATTGGTATTTTTTTCATTAAATATTTTATTAAGGGGGAGTTTTGCCAAAAACAAATTTTCAAATGTTTTGTTATATCAAAAAGGGGAAGATTGTTGAACTATATTTTTGATATAACAATTTAAGGCAAAATGTTTTTGGACTTGAATTGAATTTATTCAAAGTTTTCAAAAATAATTCAAAGTCCTTAAAACTTGGAATTGAGCACAAAATGATTTTTGGACAAGAAGTATCGTTATTGTTCTTACAGTATCAATACCTCATGAACAACACCGATATTGTTCATATGGTATTGATACCAAAGGTAAGGGAAGTATCGATACTCACTGGGTAGTATCGATACTACCAGCATTGCTCAAATTCCAGAATGCAAAAAATGGTACCGATACCCAAAGGGGTACCGATACTACTTTGTATAGTAGTATCGATACCATCATGCCCCAACGACTAGTTGATTTAAAAATAACAAAGGTAGTATCGATACTCCCTTTAGGAGTACGGATACCCTCTATACTACAGTTTTATTTTGCAGAGTTTTCATCCCCAAACGGCTAGAAATCATCTCCAACTGTTATAAACGGCCACAACTTCATTCCAACATATAAATACAAGTTGAGGACACTTGAAGAAGGGTGAGAACACCTATCCAAGCATTCAAACACAAGAGAAGAATTTTCCAATCTTATTTTCATCTCTCTTGTAAATATTTGTGTTTTTAGTAAGCTAAATTTGTAAACACCCTACCTTTGAGAGGTTTCATTGTTTACTTCTTTTTACCTTTTGTAAAAAGGGATTGGTTCTATCTTAGCCAAGTGAAAAGATAGGGCATGTAAAGGTTATCTCTTTATCCTTGAAAAAGAAAGAAAAATTATTGAATTTGTTAGAAAATCCTAAGTGAGGAGTTTAGGTAGTGGAGGTAGACTTAGTTGAGAAGTCGAACCACTATAAATCATTGTGCCAAATTTCTCTATATTTTACTCTCCTTACTCCATAAACAAATTATTGACATTTCACCATTTGTGCAATTTTCGGTTATTCAATTGAGCATCTTCGATCTTAATACATGTTAAAGTTATCAATTAGTGATTTTTGTTTTTGTTTTTTATACTCTTGTTTCTTTATAAATTTGGTTACTTGGCATCATGTGAATGTGTAATTTGGTGCATATAGGTTTAGGGTTTAATTTGAATTAATTTGCATGATATCCTCATAAGAGTTACTTGGATTCAAATCAAATAATGAGATTAAAGGTAATATCTTTTTATATTAAGTTCATCATAAGTGATTGTCTTAACGAATAAGAGGTCACTTCCAATGGCTTAAAATAAAAGGGTATCCTATCAAGTGAAACAAATAAAATTGATTTCATTTAAAATTTGGGACTGAGAAAAAGATTATGTTCTTTTAATTAAATTCACCGAGAAAAGATTGTTAGATCGGATCTAAGGTCCAGTCTCGATGTCTTTAAATAATTGAACATCCTTATTCTCATTAAAAGTTGGTAAAATAAATAATTAATCGTATTTGTTTGATGCATGTATTTAATTTACGTCTTATTTTGTATGTGTTTAAATGGGATATCAAAATAAATTATATTCGAACGTATGAGTTTTATTGCAAGGACAACTAATTAATTAATTTGGTACCAATTTATGGCGATGTGGGGTGCTAATCCTTCCCCATGCGTAATTGACTCCCGAACTCAAATTTTTTGTAACGCAGATCGTAAAATTTTTGTTTTAATTAAAATTAACATTTTATTAAAATGATAAATATATTTTTGGGTGTCCAATCACACCCTAATCAAATATTGGTGACGACTCACGAACTGATTTTATTGTTTTTAAATTTGAGTCCCAAATTATTCGAGGCGAACGTTATTTTTGCAAAATCTCGATTTTTTTAATCAACCTAAGATTTTAAAAGAAATGTCTTGACACCTTATACTATAATTTTTTTTCATCAAGATGTAGAGCACATACCAAGGTTAAAAATAATAGACATTAGTACCCATGCATGCCCCATGCAGTCTCACTATATCATAAATATATAACTTAGCTAATTTTATACTGAATAATATGTATGAATTATAAGAAATGATATTACTTGGTCAATAGATCCACAATAACTCAAATTGAATCTTTTTTCATGTGTGTGAAGGGTAACCTACTCATAATATCCATCGTCTCACGCTCTCCCTTCTACTATAGGATCTTGATCGGTTACAATATACAAGAAAATTGGTGCACAACCTTCACTTATTGGCATGTCCGACATCTAATAAAATTAGTCACCAGACCAACAATCATGGATGGAACTACATAGTGATTAAGAGAGGTTGTTGCTCTTCCTAAATTTTTTATTATAATAACATTTAAATCTTTTTTAGTTTAAATTTTAGTCACATAAGATATCTATCCTTCTCAAATTTTAAATTTAAATGTTTAATAGATTTTTATTCTTTTAATATAAAATAATTTTATCCTATCAACATTTGGTCATAGCTTGGTCCCTACCGATAATACTTTCTCTCAAATCCTAGTACAGCTTATTTCCTCTAAGATGCATAGCATCAAGCATGTCTTGTCATGGTAATAGATAATAATAATAATAATAATAAGAGAAAATAACCTCAGTGACCGAAAATGTCTTATAATATACGATTTTGATCAACTTTTTTTTGATTTGCCAAAATAACCAATAAAATCGCAATGCGATCTCTAAATCGCAACGCGATCTCCAGTATCGCAAATCAGTTTCCAGATTCGCAACGCGATTTTGACTATCGCAACGCAATTATGACTATCGCAACGCGATAATACATAATCGCAACGCGATTCTGACTATCGCAACGCGATAATACATAATCGCAACGCGATTCTGACTATCGCAACGCGATAATACATAATCGCAACGCGATTCTGACTATCGCAACGCGATAATACATAATCGCAACGCGATTCTGACTATCGCAATGCGATAATACAAAATCGCATTAAAATCGCAACGTGATTCTGACTATCGCAATGCGATTATACAAAATCGCATTATCGCAATGCGATTCTGACTATCGCAATGCGATAATACAAAATCGCAATGCGATTTTCCAAATTTGCGTTAGTCCAAATTCGTTGCGATAGTCCAAGTTCACATTGCGATTTTTTAATAATTTTCTCTAAAAAGATAGTATCCGTGCGGACGTGTCGAAGACACGTATTACCACGACTCGAGACGGGACGGGGACGGCGGCGACGGCGGTGCGCGAGAGTCCCCCTTGTTCTCCTCCACTCATCAAGGAAGTGGGAAATCCAAGCCTTAAATCCTCATTCTCAATAGTATTTTCAATACTATGTGGGATTGAGCATTGCAAACAGTTGGGAATCTTTTACACTATCGCAACACATTCTTTATTGTTTCAAACTAAAATCTTACAAATGGCTTGGGAATCTTTTACACTATCGCAACACATTTTTTATTGTTTCAAACTCCACGTGAATTTGGAATAGTTAAAATGTAAACTTATTTTGGATTTTTCACTATCGCAACACTTTTTCACTATCACAACAATACATTTTTCAAACTCTCGCAACACATTTTAACTATCGCATCACATTTTAACTATCGCAACATATTTTTCAAAATCGCGTTGTGAATCTAGATATTCGCGTTGCGAATTTGAAAACTGAGTTGGAAAATTAGAGTTCGCGTTGTGATTTTGTTGGTCATTTTGGCAAATCCAAAAAATGTTGGTTAAAATCGTATATTATAAGGCATTTTTGATCACTGTGGTTATTTTCTCTAATAATAATTAATAATAATCTAACACGTTATCAGCCAATGTTGCCCTCGAGATGCCAATGTTACTTCGATTATTTCAACGGCCATTTCTAGTTATCAAACAACATACTTTTCATCCACCCTTTCCCGATATGGATTCGACCCTCTTTCCTCCTTTTATTGTTCTCTCCCCTTCCTCGAATCCAAGCCAAAGCCATTAGCCTAGCTAGCTGTGCCCCCTCATCATCTCTTTCATCTAATTATTTATTTTCTTAAAAGAAACACTCGGAAAAGGAAGTATGGGTCGTGGAAAGATCGAGATCAAGAAGATCGAGAACGCTACTAACAGGCAGGTTACCTATTCAAAGCGAAGAAACGGTCTTTTCAAGAAAGCTCAAGAGCTTACTGTTCTCTGTGATGCTAAGGTTTCCTTGATCATGTTCTCCAACACTGGAAAATTCCACGAGTTCCTTAGCCCTAATATCACGTATTACCGTCCTTTCACTCCTCTTTTTCTCTCCATGAATTTAAACATACATATGTACATATATGACATGGGTTTTGTGTTGTTTTTTACTAGGACAAAAGGGTTTTTTGATCTATATCAAAAGACTTCAGGGATTGATCTATGGAACTCCCACTACGAGGTTAACAATTTGTCTCTCTTCAATGTTTAAGCTTTGTGGACCATTTTTTTTCCTCATTTTTAGTCGTCTACTTTTTAATGTTCTAGCAGAGAATGCAAGAAAATTACAGGAGGTTGAAGGAGATAAACAAGAAGCTGAGAAGAGAGATCGGGTAAAGAAATTTTAGGGCTTTCCTGATGTATACAAAACCTAGGGTTGTTTATCAATAAAAAAATATTCGTTTTTTTTAATTGGGGAATGGTTTTAGCAGGCAAAGGATGGGTGGAGATTTGAATGAACTGAACATCAAGGAACTGCAAGCTCTTGAGGCTAAGATGGATTCTGCCTTGTTGGCTATACGAGAGAGAAAGGTTTGAAATTATTGAACTTTTTGCTGTACCAAAAGGGACTGTTTCTTTCATATACCTAGTTTATTATATTATTCATCTTTCTTCTGATTGATTAAAAGACTCTTCTGATTGTTCACAGTACTATGCCATTAAAACGCAAACAGATAAACATAAGAAGAAGGTTAGTGAACTGAACACCACAATTAATCACATTTTTTTGTCTTGTTTGATTCAATTTTTGTTGTTGCTGAAGTTTAGACCTCTACTGGCTGCAGGTAAGGAATTTGGAGGAAAGACATGCAAATCTTGTGCTGGACTTGGTAAGAACCTTTGGATTGAAACTTGATACCAAATTTGCCTCCTTAATCTTATCCAGTAGTGAGTCTCTCTCTTTTGTTCATAAGGAGGCAAAGCTTGAGCGTCAGGATGGAATAGTTGAAAATGGAGGATATTATGAATCAGCCATGGGAGTAGCAGCCAATGGAGCCTCTAATAGCTTATATGCTCTTCGGCTGTACCAAAACCACCAGCCTCAATTTATTCTTCAACACGGAACTAATGATCTGCGTCTTGCTTGATACGGTGGTTCCATAGTACTAAAGTGGTGGTTATAGCGAAGTATAACGGTCGCATCATAATAATTTTTAAAGTCGCCTTAACAACGTAATTGCATCCGCAACTTAAAAATATAATTATTTTAAAAAAATAAATCGCGACGTAACATCTGCAACTATGATATTGCAACCGTATTCAACTGCAATTTAGTAGGTGATTCTACGAGGACACCATGTCTGTAATTTTAGATGATATTTGGTCTCTATCTCTTTTATCGGTATATATATGTATGTGAAGTATCGAGTTGGAAAGTTGAATAATTTCTCGTCTGCTGGCGACCGGAAGTAGTGCTCAGCGAGATTTTCAGTGTGCCTCGTGTCTTTATCATTCTAAGACAAGTAAGTGAAAGTGTGTTGTATTTTGATGTAAAATATAAACTTACATGTACCTTGACTTGTTTGTATTGTATTGGCTTCTTATGAACCTTTTTATATTTGCTCTATTGCCCCTGATATTTATCACCCTCTCCTCCATTTTGACATAATTTGTTTATGAAGTGCACAGTGTTGAAATTTTTATGTCTTTAAAGGAAGTATTGTGTTTAATAGAAATGAAGTACCGGAACCCATATCTCTCATAATTAACCTCTCACCAGTTCCACCCACTTTCCATTAGTATGGAACAAGGACATGGGCTGTTAGGTTGTGCTTTTACAAAGACCCCGTGATGGGAAATCTACTGGCTAATATATAATAAACAATATATATATATATATATTATTTTATTCAACTATTATAAAATAAATAAATACATTCGTTTGTTTGTTTTTAATATTAAATAAATATAACTAATGTGTAGCCATCAAATTATAAGGTAAGTTATCTATTAACCATTAAATTAAAAAAAGTTGTTAATCGGATCAATTAACTATTTAAATAATAGGCAACAATTTATAGAGCAAATGGTTAAAAGTTCTCAGTTGACATTTTTCATCTCTCTTATGTTGTGGGATCAATATCTATTACGAGCAAAATTCTTCTTCCCCTTCCCCAGCTAGTAATTTTTAAAAACTATTAAAATTAATTAAAAAATTATTTAAATAGTGGTATTATTTAAGCCATTAAATGTTAACTTTTAATAGAAATGTTGATGTGATAAATTTTAATTAAGATTAATTTAGTAGTCATCAAATAAGATGTTGACATCACAATCTTATAATTTTAATTAAATTATTATCTTATTGGAGAATTATTAAACTATTTTTAATTAAAATTTAGATCAAATTAATAGATGTGAAAGTAATAAATATCAAATGAGTAAGTGATATAAGTATATCATTTAATTAATTAAATGACATTTATCAAAAAAATAATTAAATGACATGATTAAAAACATTTTTAATTCAATTGTTAAAATAAAACTCACCCTGTAATTTTGTAATTATACATGTAATTTACCCTTATTTCTACATATATGTAAAATGGTTCTATATTAATAACAAAGTTGATTACTTATAAAAATCAAATCAATATATAATTAAAGTTTATATATTACACAAATTAGACCAAATTTAATATAAAATTTTAAAATTAATCCCTTAAATTTATCACTATCCCATGGCCATCTCATCAACCCTATCAAAGGGTAAGCTATATATCCAGAGAAGATTAATAATTATCATCATAATATGTATTATCCTCGGCTTGCATGTTACTATTACAGCTTACAAGTTGAGAGAAAAGGTCAAATTACTATTACAAACAATGAATACAGAATTAAATGCACACAATTGTTATGGTAAACCGTTAACTCATTCAAGGGTGCCAATAACTACATGATGCTCCCCGGTTGCAATAACCGCTCTCGTAAACCTTACAGATCCTCTGTCCTTTGGGCGGAGATCTGAAAGAACCAACTCTGTTCGGAGGACCACCACCGTACGATGAGTGTCTATTCCATGGGGGCCTGCCTCTAACAAAACTTGAATCTCTGCCGTGAAAATCACGGCCTCTTGTATCAGCATGCCTCTGTTGGCCCCTAGGATCAGCATGCCTCTGTAGGTCCATAGGATCAGCATGCCTCTGTAGGTCCCTAGGATCAGCATGCCTCCGTAGGTCCCTAGGATCAGCGTTTCTGTGTAGATCCCTTGGATCAGCGTGTCTGTGTAGGTCCCTTGAATCTGCGTGCCTCTGTTGGTCCCTGGGATCTGCATGCCTATGTTGGCTTCCCCAATAGGTTGGATTTCCTGTAGAAGTGCTTGAATGGATGCTGCTGCCGTTTTCCTGGATCACCCCGTGACCTGGTCCCCAACTGAAGTTTGTGGTTTCTTGACCAAAACCTTCCCAATGAAAATTTGCATTTCCTTGAACTGCTCCCCAATTGGCGCCTATAATTTCTGACCCTGCTCTCCAAGCATCACCTACAGTAGCCATGCTCCAAGTTGTTGCTGGTGGTGCAGGAGGCTGCATGTCTGAACCAGCTTCGTATTGGTTAACCGAGACATCGCTGGGCCTTGTATCTTCATCCATTTCAGCACTCGTGGAAGAATGTCCACTGGAACTCTTTGAGCATCTTCAGACTTAGTGATCCCAAATAGTTCATTGGTCAATGCCAATAGAGAAGGCATTTGTAGATCATTTGTTGAACTCAAACCATCGCATTTTCCTAGATCAGGTGTAGGGCTCAGTCCTCCCACAGGACTAAAACAATCAGGTTCGGAACCTTGAGCCAAGTCCCCATCACAACGCAAAATTGATGTAGGTGAAGCCAAGCCATTAAGTGACTCCATCGCTTCAACTTCGGCCAAGAGATCTGAAACTGATTCATCGCCCAAAGAATACTCATTGGGTTCGGGAACAATTGGATCCCATCCAGATTCATTATTTGCAGGATCCACGGGAGAAGAATGCGTCAATTGGCCACTTCCTGAAGCAGGAGTAGCAGCATGATCATTTCCCAAGTTGGTTGGTTTCATAGTAGACTTGGGAACAAAATCAGGTTTCCACTCCCCTGAAGAAGGTCTTGCCGGATTAAAAGAATATCCTCCCCATTCACCAGCTACTACAGGAAGCTGTGGTCCATTACCCACTATACCCGAAGTAGAGCTCCAGCTAGGACCTGAATCCATATGAGAAACATTTGGCGAAAGAGATTGTTTGCTTTTAGCAGCCTGACCTTTTGACTCTGCTTGGTTCAACTTTGATGTTGAGGTAGGAAGATCTGGGAAATCAATATCCTGATTGAGCTCTGACACTTCAAGAGCCCTAGCAAGATAAAGAAGACCAGAGTTGGAATCCCATCCATTTGAAGCATCATTCAAAGGTGGAGCTCTCCAGCATTGCCCGGAAGATTTGCCTGAATTACCGTCATTATTATCTTGCTTCACATTTCCATCAAGAATTTGACCTTCGATCTTGTTCAAATTCACATTCATGTCGATCGAACCACAGCTTCCCTCAACCGGTTTACTTTCCATCTGGTTCTCCTTAGAATCCCTATTCTCCTTAACATCTACATCCCTGTTCTGAAACCCATCCTCGGAGGCAATACTTACATCCTTAGTTGGCATGACACTATTATGAAACAACTGATGTGCTTGACTGTACCGCCCAACCAAGGCATCAGTTAAGAGAACAGAGTCCCCTTGCTTTTCACTTACCCTCCATATTCTCAAATCAGGAGGGAAATGACCACTACTGCCCCATACACGTAACATTGCCATGGCAAATGGCCCTTGAATTTTCCCAAGTGGGTCTTGATAGTGCCATATTTTATCTGTATCGATATTATTTATAGATAACTCCATTCCTGTAGAATGCACGGAAAGAAACAAGTCTAATTAGCACACCAAAGATACATAAAAAAATGTACGTGCATACGAACATACACATACATATGCGCACCCCTACTTGCCTGCCTATACATGCATATCTATATGGCCAATACCAAAAGATTAATACCATAGGAAAAACAACAATACAAAAATGTTCTATGCCTAAAAGTGCATTCTACCTTTTTTTTTCTCATCCAAATTTCCAGAAACTTCCTCAGACTTGCAAAATAGATCCTTATTTGGGTCACTGTGTATGTCAGGAATTTCAAGCAGCCTACGATGTCGTTCATCAGGTGAGTTCAGAAGCTGCAGTTTTTCTTCACATGCTCTGAGCGTGCAACATGGTCAAGAAATACTGGATACACTTGTTACTGTTTACTTACCAACAAAAAGGCTTATGAGTAAGGACAACAAGTGCCATGTCTAATGGTGTCATGATTAGCATAAAGATATTTTTTTTAAATTGCATAGCTTAAAAAAATGTTGAACTAAGTTTGGGATTTGTGTTATAAGATTCCAAGTTCCTTAGTTTTCTTAGAGTTTCTCAACCAAACAAAACATTAAGTAGAGTTGTCAGGCCAATCTTGCTAAGGAAAAAACAAAATGTTCAACAAAAATATCCCTGCCGTAAACTGAAGCAATGTGCCCGGAGGGTAAATGACAAGGTTGGAGTTGAAAAGGCTAGACCTATTTGTTGTTGATCACATTGAGTCCTAACTCTAAGATGCACCTTTTCAACCTCACTCAATCCACTAAAATTATATCTTTGAATGTCCCCCGTTCATTAGAATTGCATTGAAAGATAAAACTGTTAATAAACTAAAATGATGTTGGTTGTTGGAGGGTAAACAAAATCAGCCTTGAAATAAGTGCATCAAGCAATAGCTAGGGTAGGGTAGCAGCACATTCAACCAAACAGAGACAAACAAAATTGATTTCATCGGAAAGCATACACAAGAACTATGGAAAGGATCTTGCATTCACCGATCTGGCTAAAAGTATGATCCTAAATAAAGAATAAACAGCAAGACAGGTTTAAAATAAAATTAGGTTTATTGCTAGTTGTATGCCAGTGGAATAAGTTAGAATATCGGCATAGTAGAGAATATAAGGGCAACAGAGAAGCTTATAGGTCAATATTGTAACAAACAAAAAAGGATATTCTTTCGTGTTTCCCTTCTGCCTTGCTTGCTCACAAAGATTTTTAACTCGCAAAATCTCCGAGTCTAACCACTGGTCAAAAAAGTAAGAGCAAGTAAAAAAAACACCTTTGGAAAAGTTCTTTAAGGGGAAATAGAAAGCATGCAACTATATATGAATATTAACACCCTACTATCCCTTAAAATTAGCTACATAGTAATATCCTCAGTCATTTAGAAACTTCAAAGCTTAGGAACTTACATAATCTACCCTAGCTGCTTGAAGTACCATTGCTTTCTCCTGAATCTCACCCTACAACAAAGCGTAAAACTCCTTTTAAATGACACCACAAACATATTGGCTGAAAAGTAAAATCGAACATAAAACATTTACCACAGTAAACCATTTGATCTGTCCACTTCTTATTATACTCTGGCGTAGTTCTTGGCACTCATCCTGAATTTTTAAAAAATATATATATCAAAATCAGAGTG